CTTCCACAAAAGATGATCAGTTTCAGTTTAATTTCGATTTATGTAAAATGATGATCCAGTCCATATACCTTTAAAAAAATTGGAGAAAGGCCCTCTTCAAGAATTTCTTGAAAAACACTGCAATCGACATATTCCGGTTGAAAGTACTCTCCGAAAAAATTATGTAGGCCCAGTGTTGCAGCAAGTTTACAACGAAATTAAACATCGCATTGGAGATAATTATTTATAGTTCGCGCTCGATGAAACAACCGATAGTTGTGAAAGATAAGTGGCAAGTTTAATTGTTGGAATCTTAAATGGAAATTTACCTAGTCGAGGGTATGTAGTAAGTTTGAAAATGTTAGATAAAACGAATGGCAATACGATTACCAGATTTGTAAATGACAGTCTTACGTCACTATCTTTGCCAATAAAATTTTATTGATGATCTCGGATGCAGCTCGTTATATGTTGAAAGCAGGGAATAATCTAAAAATATTGTACCCCAATTTAATTCACTCTACTTGCATTGCCCACAGTTTAAACAGAGTGGCTGAAGGAATACGTTTGCAGTTTCCTACTGTTAATAAATTAGTGGCAAATGGTAAAAAGATTTTTGTTAAAGCCCCACTAAAAGTGCAACGTTTTAAGGAAAAATTTCCAAACATACCATTGCCCCCAGAACCGACTATAACGAGGTGGGGAACATGGTTACAGGCCACATTTTATTATGACAAATATATCAAAGAATTTGAGGAATAAGTAGTTACGGAGTTTAGCGAAGATTCTTCTCAATCGATTAAAGATTGCATAAATATTTTGGAAAACAAAGATTTGCGACAAGATCTAGCTTTTCTAAGAAGCAATTATCAATTCGTATGTGAGGTAATAGAAAAGTTAGAAAAACCCAACATGTTGTTGGTAGATGCCATAAACTTAGTGAAAGAATTTAAACAACAAGCAAACGCAGTAAGGGATGATATTGGTACTAGAGTATCTCAAAAACTTGACGAAGTGTTAAATAAAAATGCAGGTTTCGGTGTTTTTTCCGACGTTGCTCGTGTTTTACAAGGCCAGAAGGTGGAAAATTTGGAGTTAGATTCAACATTAGTTGCAAAATTCAAATTTGTGCCAACAACGAGTGTGGATATTGAACGCACATACTCCAATTTTAAACACATTTTAAATGATCGGCGAAAAAATTTTACAGTGGACAACTTGGAACATATTACAATCATAAATTGTTTTAAAGAAAACTGAAATACGTGTGTAAAATATAAAGTCTAGGATTATTGTAATAATATTTTATCCAAAGTTCTAAGAAGTGTTCCTTGATTTGTAATATGATTATGTTTTTAATGCTTTTTTGCTTAAAATAAAACTTTTTTATTGAAAATCTTGTGCTTATTTAAGCGCTTCTTCTTAATTTTTTTGTGCTTATAAATCCGCTCTCTAGTTATAATACTTCTGTTTCGAAAGTTATTACAGTTTTTTTAAATATTCAATGCGCATCACATTAGTGAAGTTCATAAAAATTTTGACATCCTTTTTCTGTACCATTTTTCTGCTTGGTAAATACCATTCAAATTTCCTAAAGTATCTTGTTCTTTAGACAATAATACGAAATTAAGCAAATATGTTTCGTAGAATTGTGGCATAGCGTTCGGGTTCGATTTCGATCCCCCCATTTCCGACGTTCACACTATTTTCTCGAAAATTAAATAATACAGTACTGTAGAAAATTTTGGTATTGAAAAACTCACTTAAGACATAAGCATAGCATGATTCTTTAGCTATACTTTAACAGTCGACTCACGTTGGCATAGTTAATCTCTTATCATTTGCAAAATTAAATTTTATAATTTTTCGAAAAACCCACATTGTTTCGACTATACTTCAGGAACGAGGTAGGTTCTGTCTAAATAATAATCTTAGACCAACTTGTTACATTTTACGGAGAAATATGCATCAAAAATAGAATAAATCAGTGGTATACGTGAAGTATATAATTTTGGGCAATTTTAGAAAATTTTACTTGGTAAAATTTTGAAATGACATGAAAAAACTGAGGGTACATAACCTGAAATAAAGGTGCCAGCGTAGGACATTAATTTAAATGCTGTTGCCAAAGAATTTACAGCATATTCTAGAAATACTCCGATTTAATGATTGTAAGTAGTGAATACATTGTTAGGAAAGCTTTGTGAAAAATATAAACATAAAATCGCACTAAAAAAAAGATCAAATTAACATTAAACATTTTTTTTTACAACAAATGTTGCTAAATTTTTGGAAAATTGAGATTAATGCGATATGGAAACGAATATGTTTATGGCTGCTCTGAGAAAGCACAACTGTTGTTTTTACTTCCCGAGCTTATGCAAAGGAAGTATTGTAATCGAGTCCGTCGGTCGACTCTCTACTTTTACGTTTTCTCGATCTTTCATGACCCCTAGAAGACGAAGAAATAGGTCTGCCATTTCCGTCTGTCTGTCCGTCTGTCCGTCTGTCTGCCGTCCCGCATTTTTATTAGACAGATAATCTCCGAAAGTACTGAATCGATTGTTGTGAAATTTTGTACTTATATTAGGAATATAATGCAGATGGTAAAACGCTAATCATCCCCACCACTAATGCGATGACGTCACTTCAAAATTGTACATAGTAAATGGGTTTTAAATTGTGTAAAATAACATAGTCCTACACATGTAGTTTACGACTCCAAATTGAGTTTTTACCCGAAACGTCCAGATTTTTGGAAAAAAATCAAAATTATAAAACAACAGTTACACAATTTAATTTTGAATTTGCTAACCCGAATGCTTTGAAATGTTGCAGATGTTTTAAGGCTATAAGGAGCATCATAAATCTTTAGTCAAAATATATTTGGTTTTCCCCTCCAAAAACTTGATGACGTCAGCTCAAAAGTTTGCCGAATAAATCCTATCTAAAATGTACAAAATATGATGAATCTGTATTTATGATCTATCACTCCACTCAAATTTTTTTAATTTGCATAGACAGGGTAACTCAAAAAAATTAATGAATACTTAAATTTATTTTACTGTTTTATTCAGGAACTACAAAACCGAATGTTTCAAAATCTTGAAAATGTTTTAAAATTATAACAAGCATGGTAAATTTTTGATCAAAATGTATTTGGTTGTCCCCCCCTAAAAAATTTGTGACGTCACCACAAAATTTTGCTTAATAAATCCTACCTAAAATGTACAAAATATGGTGAGTCTCTTCTTGTGATTTATCATCCCATTCAAATTTTTTGGATTTGCATATACAGGTGACCCAAAAAAATTAATGAATGCGTAAATGTATTTTATTGATTTAATCAGGAACTACAGAACCGAATGCTTTGAAATCTTGAAGATGTTTTAAAGTTATCATAGGCATGGTAAGTTTTTGATCAAAATGTATTTGCTCATCCCCCTAAAAAATGTATGACGTCACCACAAAAGTTTGCTGAATAAATCCGATCTAAAATGTACAAAATATCATGAGTCTCTTCTTGTGATTTATCATTCCATTCATATTTTTTGGATTTGCATATACAGGGTGGCCCAAAAAAATTAATGAATGCGTAAATGTATTTTATTGATTTAATCAGGAACTACAGAACCGAATGTTTTGAAAGCTTGCAAATGTTTTAAGGTTATAAAGAGCATAATAAATTTTTAGTCAAAATATATTTGGTTATCTTCTCCAAAAAACTGATGACATCAGCTCAAAAGTTTGCCGAATAAATCCTATCTAGATTGTACAAAATATGATGAGTCTGTACTTGTAGTTTATCATTCCATTCATATTATTTGAATTTGCATATACCGGGTGACTCAAAAAAAATGAATGCGAAAAAAGTCGTCAGGTTTCCGAAAGCGAGGGAAGTACTGTCTAAACTCTTTAGACCAATTTTTTTTTGGTGTATTTTAAGGATAAAAGTGAGTTTCTTGTCGAGTTTGAAGGTTGCTCTTAGGTCAAAGCTCTGAAATTTTAGGTGATGTGTTTCGGATAGCAAAAATTTGTTGCGTTTGTACTTGCACTGTGAAACTCATGCTGAAGCAAATTTTACAAGCAATTAGAAATACCTACAATTCACAGAAGAAGTCACACTCACTTTTCACTGACACTGACATTTGTAGTAATTTTATATCTTTATATACCTACATACCTTTATAGCAAAATACAAGCAACCAACCGAAGCTTCCAGAGCTTTAAAGCATGCGCTAGAGAATGTAGTGCTCTATTTGTGGCATAAAAATCTATTTAATTTTTCTGCATAATAATGTTACAATTAAGACTTCTAATAACCTTCAATAATCTCTAAATTGCTTAAAATTTTAACTAATAACAGAAAACAAAGAAAATGCTCATTAAATGCACCTGCTAAAGCTGATTAATTATTAATTTTATTTGACAAAGACATCTTGATATTGATGACCGGTTGCACTTATCACTTTCATTATTCATGAAATTTCCAAGGAGGAATCGTGAATACTTTTGGAAATTATAGCTATTTTGTAATTTGCTGAAGCAAATAATTTATTACATGCAACTGTCTTAGACGTGGTCGATTATAAATAAAACGAAAGGAAACGAAAGAATTCTTAGCTACATAAAATTTTAATTTTGTTAGTAGTCAAATATTAAAAACATTGACAAGCTATTACGTTCAAATTAACATTTAAAAAACAATAATTTTACAACAAATGTTCGAAATGTTCTCCCTAGCTGGCCACTCAACTGCTCTCTTTTGTCTTATCCACCTCCAGGAAATATTTCCTTCTCATTTTTAAATTCTTTTGAAAATCCAACCCATGCACACATGTAAACCGAAGGATGAACGTAGAAAAAAATGAAGTTGGATTTTCCCTTTAAGATGACTCTATTGCCGTAATAACACCAAAAAAAATCTCTAAAAATATACAGGCTTAATAGATAGATAGTTAGATAAAGAAATGTTCAGATGAGAAGACGTTTGCACAATTAAACAGGTCAAATGATTTTACGATGTTCGACTTTAATTGTGCTAGTCGTCTCATCTGAACATTCGGTTCCATCTACTTTAACGTGCAAAAACAGCCCTTCCAAATATTGTTCCACGCTCACTTTGAACTTAATGAAGCGCAGTGCCGACTAGAGTCCAAAGTATCGCGGTTATTCGGAGGACGTGATCAGGTTAAAAATTTGTCCGTGGAAGTAGTACCGGCGTAGGACTACCTAGTCAGATAAAGAAATGTTCAGATGAGAAGACTAGCACAATAATTAGCGTCGAATATATTAAAATCGTTTGTTTTGGAAAATGTAGCCTACGAACACGCACTTTTTCGCTATTATTTATTAATAAAAGTACCGTTAATAAATACGAGCTTGATAATTAAATTATGTCCAACCTGATGAATGGGATAATTTCATATTTAAGAAACTTTGAAACATTAGTAATTAATGTTAGATGAAACTGAAAAATAACGAGTTAAAGCTATCCAGAGTTTTGGCAAAAAATGAAAATCATATATGTAATAATGTTCTGGAATTTAATTTTTAATCTGCAAAACCGAATGTTTTGAAATTTTGCAGACATTCCAAAATTGTTGCAAACATGGTAACTTTTTATTCAAAATATGTGTCCCTTTTTTTAATACGTATCATAATTAATTGCGAACATTTTGTCTGTTTTGAGTTGATAAATTCATTAAAACCAAACTAATTTCTACGAGACATTCTTCCGATGCATAAACATAAACACTTCAAGTTGTTATTAGTGCTGGGGGGCCATTTTTACTTAATGAGCGCAAGCTAAAGAAGTATAATAATCGAGTGCTTCGGACGGCTTGGTACTTTCATATTTTCTCGACGTTTTATGACCCCTAGACAGGTAGGGAGAGTGTCCTTAAATGATAACATTACGGGTAACAATAAACTAAACAAGAAAATCTAATTGCAGTGTTCGTGGATTTTTAAAATTAGAGTTCATGTGCCAAAGTTCCTAATATTATTTCTGTAAGTTTATAAGAGAAATTATGACACTGCTTCGTCCTCGCCTATGGGTCATACAGACGCTGTAGTACAGCAAAATAGGAATACGACGACCTCAAAATCTGAAATACATAAAGTTACGTTTCAACAAAAATCACGAATTATTTAATTAATAATATTAGTAACAATTACAGACGTTAGTGTTGCCAAAGATAAAGGGACAAATCCACCAGCAGTCATCGTAACCGGAGTTTTAGTTTTTTCCATAAAAATGACGACATTTTTTCGGAATGTCAAATTCGATTCGTACCAATTCGACATGTATAAAGATTCCCCAATAGTGCTACTCTAAAATGAAAGTGAAATAGTACCATTAATAGAAAAGTGTGTGACTTAACTGTGGTCATAACTTCGTGGCCAAGCCAACAATATACCGCGACTTCACACATCATACACACAAAATATGTGAAAGTTAAAAAAAACTGCATACTGACAACAGGAAGCTAAAATTTAACATTAAAAAATAATATAGTAGTAGTTAAATTGTGAAAAATTACAATCATCATTAAAAACCCGGTGAAACAAATAATGAAAACACTCGCGAAGAACTGCAAAAACACCCCTTTCAAAAACATACTCTCAATTTTGTACACAAACCTAAAAAGGCACATTTATTGTATTTTTTAAAACTTTTCAAGCTTCCACCTACTTTATGATTTTCTTGTGATGTTTGACACATTTTTTGAAAGCTAGTTCCACAGTCTCACTATCGTCATTTTCGTAATTGATAGACCTCAGATTTTCTTTCAACACCTCGAACTGCCCAGAAGCTATACTGATCAAAATCCACGACAAAATATCAATCGATGAATCAGTGTACGCCGTATTCGCAATCCCCAAAATTTGGAACACAAAAGTCGGATAGTAATATTTATTCACGTCGTACGGAAACCAGCCAGGAACCGGCAAACTTTTCGACTTTTCGGTATCAAAAAAACAAGGCAAACCCCAGAACCCAACAGCCGCCACTGACAAAATTCGAAAAGTCGTTCCAGCGGTTTGACCAGCTCGTATTTTTTGCTTGAGCAGGGTTAAATGGTGCTCCGGGTACCCGTAGAAAATCGGCGAAGTTAAAATTTCCTCGATTTGTAGCAGAGTTTTTTTATTGATTGCGAAAAATGTTAGCTTCCAAATGAAAGTGACGAGGGTTGTGAAATATTGAAGCGATTCTGACAATTTCATTATGTCGTTTCGGTCGATTATGATTTGTACAGTCATTGAGATTAATTGCGAAATGGAGAAAAATAAGTTTATGGCTGCTCTGAAAAAGTACAAGTGTTGGTTTTTTGGATAAAATCCTGCAAAACGAAGGAGCTTCTTGTCGAGTTTGAAAGTTGATCTTAGGTCGAAGCTCTGAAATTGTAGGTGATGTTTTGCGGAGAATAAAATTTTTTGCGTTTATACTTGCACTGTGAAACTCATGCTGAAGCAAATTTTACAAGCTATTAGAATTACCTACAATTCACACCAAAACAGAAGAAGTCACACTCACTTTTCACTGACACTCTAACACTTGTAGCAATTTTATATCTTTATATACCTACATGCATTTATAGCAAAATACAAGCAACCAACCGAAGCTTCCAGAGCTTTAAAGCATGCGCTAGAGAATGTAGTGCTCTATTTGTGTCATAAAAATCTATTTCATTTTTCTGCATAATAATGTTACAATAATTAAGACTTGTAATAACCTTCAATAATCTCTAAATTGCCTAAAACTTTAAGTAATAACAGACAACAAAATGCTTATTAAATGCACCTGCCAAAGCTTATTAATTATTAATTTTATTTGACAAAGACATCTTCATATTGATGACCGGTTGCATTTATTCCTTTCATTATTCATGGGACTTCCAAGAAGGAATCGTGAATACTTTTGAAAATTATAGTTCTTTTGTAATTTGCTGAAGCAAATAATTTATTAGATCCAACTGTTTTAGACGTGGTCGATTATAAATAAAACGAAAGGAAACCTAGAGTACGAAAACTGGATCTCCCGTTTCCGTCTACCGTCTGTCCGCATCTGTGTCCGTTTTTATTAGACAGATAACTAAACTACCTGACCGATTGTTGTCAAATTTTGTATGTACATTCTTTAGAATTTCGTGTACACGATAAAAAGCTAACCAAAATTTGTCTGATCATCTCCAACAACGTAGAACTGACGTCATCTCCACCTTTTAGTAAATATTATTTAAATTTAATAAAATATACTAATACATTGTAGTTTGTGGGCATTCGTTTTCGCAATTTTAAAATTAATTTGTAACATGCTCTATATACAATTTTGATTTTTTACCCAAATCTGGAAATCTACCGTAAACACTTAAAACGGATTATGTTATTTTAAAAAATTTAAATAGCATTTACCATGCAAAATTTTGAGGTGACTATGCACACGTTAAGTGAAAGTATCATATATTTATCCTACCGAGTAACACTGTTTCCTTTTTATTGTTGCTAACTGTGCTGGCACATATTCATTTGTGTATTTTTGTTTTAAATTTCTCTGGACTTCATGTTTTCTTGACATTTCGTAAATCTTAGAAAATCAAAAAGTAGTTCTCCCGTTTCGTCTATCTATTCTCTGCTTTTATTAGGTATTAATTTAGTAGTTGTGAAATTTTAGATATTATACCGGGTGTCTGGAAAATGGCGGATTTACTCTTTAGTACGTGATGTACGGGAGTCAAAAAAATAATTCATTAATCGTTGTGGATTATTATTAATAAAACAAGCTGTTCTTTTTCATTAATAAATAAACTAAAAAATAATAATAATAAGACATTTATAAATTATCAACAAAAACAAAACCAACTCAACACTTGAGAAGATGTTCAAAATTCCTGCCTTATGCATGCATATAAGTGAGCTTGCAATGTTTGCACTTGCTGAGATAAAACTGATATTGGCAAATGAGATACCCACTAAGAAAAGAGAGGGTGGGCGGGCGGGCTTAGTATTTGCTAAAATAAGATTTATTTTGGCAAAAGACAAACCCTTTAGAAAAGAGAGGGTGGGTGGGAGGGGTTAGTATCTGCTAAGATAAGACTGATATTGGCAAATGACCTATTCTCCAAAAAAAGAAAGGTGGAAGGTCTATCATTTGGCAAAATCAGTCTTATCTTGTCAAGTACTAGCCCCGCCCACCCACCCTCTCTTTTCTTAGAGAGTAGGTAATTTGCCAAAATCAGTCTTACTTTGGCAAGTACTATCCCCACCCACCCGCCCTTTATTTTCTTAGAGGGCTAGTACCTGCTAGGATAAGACTAATTTTGGATCCATCTAAGAAAATATAGGACGGGTGGGCGGGGTTAGAAGTTGCTAAGATAAAACTGATTTTGGCAGATGACATTTTCTCTAAGAAAAAAAGGGTGGGAGGGCGGGGCTACTATTTGATAAAGTAAGGTTAATTTTGGCAAATGAGATACCCTCTAAGAAAAGAGAGGGTGGGTGGGCGGGGTTAGTACCTGCTAAAATAAGATCGAGTTTAGCAGATGACAAATCCTCTAAGAAAAGAGAGGGTAGGTGGGCGGTGCTAGTAGCTGCTACGATAAGACTGACATTGACAATTGACCTACTCTCTAAAAAAATGAAAGGTAGAGGGTATATCATTTGGCAAAATCAGTCTTATCTTGGCAAGCACTAGAATGCTTACCTGAATAAAATTTAACTTTTGTAAATTTTAAATGAAATTTTAGTTCTAACTGTTAGTAACCAAATTTTTAAAAACATTGACAATCCATCCCATCTTGAAACGGTTTCGTAGAATTTTCAATTGAAATTTCACCCCATTTCAAAAATAAACAGTGAGTCGAAAAATAAAAAGAAACGAAATATTTTTGAAACTTTTAATTATTAAATTATGCTTAGGAAAAATGCACAAAACTTGTTAATTTTCACTAAATAGGCACAATTTTAGACTACTACGAGTATATTATTAAATATCACAATAAATTTACTACTCGTGCGCTGACTACACTCGTCTCACTCTCAGTTGCTGTTGAACAAGGGAGAAGAGAGAGATTCGTCGTTCGAACTAGCATCTGCGGTGTATACTCTATCTGTGTAAAAATAAATATAAAAACCTGTGCGTTACTTTCAAGTAATTTCACCAATTTACTTTTTCATTGTTTATTAAGTACAATATTTTGTAGTATTTGTTTGCAATATTGGTGTCAATTACCCTTTGTTTTCAATAGAATCAAACTTCTTCTGAGTGCATACTATTTAAAACAGCAAAATAAGACCACGATGATTTCAGTATCTGCAAGTCAGCGATTAGTGGCACCTGTAAATTGCAGTAATAACACCTACAGCCATATAAGTCCCAAGTGACAGAGTAAAATAACCTCCTGCGTAAAGCTTCAACGGAAACTGAGTTCGTGTCATAAAAAACAAGAGATCTTTTTTAAATTCCTTCGTACATTCAATCCACTCGCAAACGTATGCCGACTGGGTCAATTTTTCGCTCTAGAAACAAAATTTTCAAAAATACAAACGTCAAAAAAGTGACTACTCTCACTTCAATTATAACTTCATTTCCGTAATAGCACCACAAAAATATTTCTAAAAGTATACAAGCTTGATAAAGTAGCATTGAAAGGAACTGTAAGCTCGCCACAGACACCAAGCTCATCTGAAACATCGTCATGCAGATTATTATGACACTGACTGCGAACTGGCTTGTCATGCAAATTGTGAAAAGTGAAGTCATTTCAGCTGAAAGTCTGTAAAAATTGTAAATTAGTTTAATTTTTAACACAGATTCTAAACTACTTACTGTAGAATGCTTCTGTAGTGGACTATATTTTTGACCAAAGCCCGTCTCAAGTTTTTCAGCGTGCTTTCACAACGTAAGTTGCGATTTTGGTAATTCTGCACCGTCATCACTTCAAAAGAATTGTTAAGAATTTTCAGCTGGACCGAAATGGCCATTATAGCCCCCGAGATGAACGTATCCATGGTTATATTCCCCATCCCGTTAATCCAAGTGGCGAAAATTTGATAAGCATACACTAATTCAAACGAAGGTGACGTGTCTGTCCCGAAAGGATACCATCCACTTAACGGCAGCCTGATTTTTTCTCCAGGTTGTCTGTCCAAAAACGGGAAAATCCCCCACAAACAACAAGTTACGAAACACATGAAGAGAAATATTTTTGAAGTGGTTTTGGATATTTTTATTTCTTCCGAAAGTGAGTCGCGCTGGACTAAGTTTTGCGGTTTGAATTCTTTTTTGTTGAGGTTTTCAATGAAAGTCCACACTCTTGAGCCGTTGAATAGAAAGACGTATATTTTGAGTGCTTGGTTGGAATTGGTTAGAAGTAGAAACGACGTTTCTGTCATATTTTCAATGTCGCCGTAAACTTCGATCATGTTTGCTATTTGGCTTAGAAGGCAGAGGATGTAAGTTAATGTGAAAAATATCACAGCGTAGATTTTGTAGCTGATTTTTGCTTCGAAATTATTTAATTGTGGAGAAAAGTAGCCAAATATGTGTAAACACTTGACATTGAAGCTAATAATGTCTTTTACATTTACTTCAGTTGTTGCTGCCATGGTCAACTTATATCTGAAAAAAAATCAAGATTTAAATGGGTTATCTACAAATATGTTCAGACATACCCTACTTTTGTTTGTTTATTGAAATTTAGGCACTAGTTCGTTTATTTAGTAAATATAGGGCTTTTGTAAATAATTCTAAGGGCGTAGTTGCCTATGAATTTGAAAGATCCAAATTGTATTGAACAAGACACTTTCATTGTCTTGTTATCGCAATGGGACTTCGTAAACGAAGAGTAAGTGTATTCTGTAACCGCTTACAGATTTGTGTCAATAAAAGTAAATCTCGTAGAAGATCTTCAGTATCTTAGGAAGTTTGATGATTTGAGACGACTTGAGTCAGGAGTTCCTGTTGCAACATAAAATTGAACAATGGGCATGGACGACTGGATTTCAGAACATTTTTGAAATTAAAAAGAGAGTGAACATGTGCCTTCAACAAAATTGTGAACATTTTCAACATTTACTGTGATGTTTAACCGCAAGGAAGTAGTTTCTTTTTATTGTAATGAACTCGTTGTCTTTTTTAAAATTATATGAGGCATTTAGGCAACCAGTTATACAGATTCGTGTGGTCTTTGTCATACGTCCTTGGGCATTTAGTACATTTCAAATCTGTGAGGCGGCACGTTTACATGACCTACTGCGACCCCATAATCATTTATAGAAACCCTGTACAAAAACATACAAATACACAATGTAATCACTTTTTGCGAAAGAATGCATTATTTTTATACTTTTCAGGTATAAGATATAATGTAACTGCTGCAATTAATTCTGTATTAGGAAATTTTGGACATTCAGAAATATGACATTTCACGTAAGGAGGTGTATATCTATTTGCCTAAAATCATGCATTAATGGCCCTTATTAATAAACAATTTTCGTACATAAATCATGCATTAATCTCCTCATAATAAACAATCATCGCAGAAAAAACAATAATTTAACCATGGTCCGCATTGTCAATAAACGTTCGATGATTTTTTTCACGAAATATAATTCTAACACATCCATTTATGCCACTCTAATTCACGTTACCTTAAAGGATTCAAATATGTATACCGGGAAAATGACCTGAGACACGTGTATTTGTGAAATTTTTATGCCGAACATTTTCTTCTTTTTTTTTCTATAAATGAAAAAAAAAAGTTAAAGGGCCATTAATAGAATCGACTGATATTTTAAAACTTTAACAAGAAAATATTTGTGGTTTGATTTGTTTTTAATGAGCAAATTTTAGGAAGAAGTGCAAGTTTTTTTTTTAAATTGGCTCGATTACATCACCTGATGTTAAACGATGTTTCTACAAAAATAGATATGTTTTCTCCAACAGACAACATAATACTTTAGTCGACAGTTTCAAAAAATAACATATTGTTAATTATAATAAGCAATATACTAATTAAACAGATTTCCGTCTCTCTCTTTCATTCCTGCATGTTTCAAATATATTACTAATGCTCCACCATAAGAAAAAAAATTCGTAATGGAAAATATTATTAGAAAATGATCTTACGGAATTTTAGTAACATTTCAAAATATAAAGGGTACCATTTGATTATTATGGGTTAATACTTAATCAGTTTTGTCACTTTTAACACTTGTTAAAATCTTATTAATATTTAGGCAATTTTTTTGAAATGTTTGAAAGATATCAAAAATATATGATTTTCTTGAAAAAAAAAAAACAAAGTAACATTTTGGACAATTAAAGAAATAAAAACTACTGCGGGATAGTACTTATTTTTATGAAAAAGAAGTTAATAGATTAAAAAATTTCCAAAAAGTTAACCTACTTGAATTATAATAAAGTCACATTTAAGATTAAAGGACTCCTGGTTTTTCTCAAGAAAAGATAAAACAAGCATAATAAGATATATACCAAAGAAGTGGTTAAAAATAGTGAAAACTTTAGTCAGATTCTAAGTGTAAAAATTAAATCTATACATTGCCACTTACTACTTTCGGATTAATATGTAACAATTTATAATTAAATATCCTCAACAAGTTAGAATATAATATGTCAGAAGCAGCACACTTCACTAAATATCAAAACACCTATTTTCCTTCACTCTGGACCAATACTTCATTAATGGAAACCGTTTTCTACCATTATTTATGTACTTGTATAACTTTCTGGTAGGAAACAAACAACCAATCAAAAATTCATTAACTTTAGAGCATGCGCGCCTAAATCTTACCTACAGTGTTTTCCTATCGGAACAAGTATATAATTTTGCAAATAATTATTTTCCATTTTTAAGTTAAGAACTGCTAATAACCTGTTAAAGAGAATATTTTCTAAATTATCTAAAATTTTACTTCAATAATAACACACAGAAAAAAAGTTAAATTATCGAAACTGCACTAGTAAAATTCATTAATTATTAATTCTACTTGACAAAGAAATCTTCATACTTAATAAGTAGTTGCTATTTACTCGATTCATTATTCATAAGACTTCGTAGACGGAATGGTAAATCATTTCGAAAATTATAGTGCTTTATTTATTACATGCAACTTTATCCTTTACTTTTGTATAAATACAGATAGAGAGAGTAACTGCAGACGAGACGTGGTCGCTCATACATAAATCAAAAGAAATCAACAAAAAAATTCACTAGAAACGTATTAATACTAAATCAGTAGTGTATTATTTTGCATGTCGATTTTAAATTTAATTTAATTACAATTAATCTTTTGTTCACTGTTTCAATCACTTTTAAGACTAGCATTTTACATTTTTTTATCCGTTTTTGAGGTGGAAATGGAATGTAATTTTAAGCTTTACTTTCATAAATATAAAAAAATGTGTTTAATGAAAGAACAACTAGATATCTAGAATGTTATCATACCATCGTATGCTGAGATTTAATGATGACACAGGTCTCAAACCTCAAAGGAAACGATAAACAAGATTATCTCACAGAAATGCAAATTGGGAAGTAGATTCTGTCCTTAATATTGAAAAAAAAGTAATTAACACTTTTCTAAAATTATTCTTTTTCATGCCGCTAGAAGACCGCTAGAAATTGAACATACAGTCGTATAGATAAATCCTGGAATGGAAAGTGATACATTTTAGCAGTAGTGGATGATGATACCCATTATTGTTACGATAGACGTGTATTAAAAATCGGCTTGAGTAAAACTCAAGAATTTATTTCTCAAATTTACACGGCTAACTATACAGCGATTATGTATAGAATAATTATTCTGACTGGAATGGATTTGACTAGACTCTGCTTCTCCAATTGTGTGGATTCTACTGACCGCTCCCGACGGTGATTCCCATTTAAACAGCAAGCGATCCTTCTCCAAAGACGCCGTCATCGCTTCTAGCCTTGTTCTGGAGCACTCACCAACAATCATACTAGAAAACCCATAGACGTCATATCGGGCCGACGTATGGGTTTAGCTTAACCGTCCCGATCAGAAACATCAATGGTGTCACTGTCCTATTTCATGAGGCGGCCTAAGTAAACAATCTTCATTTTCGTCTTCGGCCCTTGTCGAATCCTGTAAACATCGTTGATCCTCGTCAAAACAGTACATAGACCTTCCCATTTCTTCATTTCTTGCGTCCATCTTTTCGGCCATTTTTTCCATTTTTCCATCCATTTTTTCCATTCCTGCGCCCATTTCTTTTTTCATTTCTGCGAACATAGCCATCATCTGCTTTATTAATTGTCCCTCCATTTTCTCGGCTTGAGCACTAGTCTCAACAGGCATCAATCTTCAGAATTCTTGTCCAATCTGCAATTCGTCGTAAAATCAATTATTAATTTCAAATCACACTTCTGACACCAGTGTTACGTTGTACGAGTGAATAAAATCGGCGTGGGTAAAACTCAGCAATTTATTTCTTAGCAACTAGGATTTACCACACTAATTACAGAGCGATTATGTACAAAATAATTCTAGTGTAATATTCACTGGGTTTTATTCTACACTTATTGGACTTGACTTGTTAACTGAATTCAGCTCACGATGGTGGTTCTCATTTAAATAGCCGCGTGGTCCTTCTCGAAGTTCTCCATCACCGTTTCCCGGCTTTTCTCTACATATTACAACCCATAGGCGTCGTACCGGGGCGGCTTGTGGGTTTCTTTCGTAACTATATGTTGTGACAATGGTCGTGAACTTTAAATTGTGCACAAAAAAATAAAAGCATTATTCAAAAACTTGGTGGAAAAGTTATATTTTGACAATAAGAAGGACTTCAGAAAATTTTCTTAATATGCAAACGCCAAACCCATGCCTACGCCCATGGTGAGACAAGATATAAGCTAATAAAAAAATAAAATCGTGGAAATTTATCATCCATCCAGAGAAGCTGTTGGAAGTTTATTGTATCTAAACAACAAAACCAGACAGGACATATCATATACAGTAAAATGGAAAATTTTTCCAGTCAAAACTTTGGAAATGTGAAAACAGTATGATCGCATGGTGTTCCTAATCGTTATACACATCCAAAGTCAAATAGTATAGCAATATCACAAAAGATTGAAGAATTTTGTGAATTGTGCGGCTAAAAAAAATAATAAGGGAAAGCTACATTACTACTTAGGCTGTGACTTGAATCACGGTGTACAATCTAAAATATAAACGTATCTTAAAATTATATTTGTGAGCTACAGTAAGCAGCTTTTAAAATTTTCTTCTTTCATTATTTATTGAGTATAACTTTTTATAGTTTTGTTTGCAATATTGGTGCAAAACACTTTTTTTTTCAGTAGAATCAAACTTCTTCTGTGTGCATACTATTTAAAACAGCAAAATAAGACCACGATGATTTCAGTATCTGCAAGTCAGCGATTAGTGGCACCTGTAAATTGCAGTAATAACACACCTACAGCCATATAAGTACCAAGCGACAGAGTAAAATAACCTCCTGCGTAAAGCTTCAACGGAAACTGCGTTCGTGTCATAAAAAACAAAAGATCTTTTTTAAATTCCTTCGTACATTCAATCCACTCGCAAACGTATGCCGACTGGGTCAATTTTTCGCTCTAGAAATAAAATTTTCAAAAATACAAATGTCAAAAAAATGATTACTCTCACTTCAATTATAACTTCATTTCCGTAATAGCACCACAAAAATATTTCTAAAAGGATACAAGCTTGATAAAGTAGCATTGAAAGGAACTGTAAACTCGCCACAGACACCAAGCTCATCTGAAACATCGTCATGCAGATTATTATCACACTGACTGCGAACTGGCTTGTCATGCAAATTGTGAAAAGTGAAGTCATCTCAGCTGAAAGTCTGTAAAATTGTAAATTAGTTTAATTTTTAACACAGATTCTAAACTACTTACTGTAGAATGCTTTTGTAGTGGACTATATTTTTGACCAAAGCTCGTCTCAAATTTTTCAGCGTGCTTTCACAACGTAAGTTGCGACTTTGGTAATTCTGCACCGTCATCACTTCAAAAGAATTGTTAAGAATTTTCAGCTGGACCGAAATGGCCATTATAGCCCCCGAGATGAACGTATCCATGGTTATATTCCCCATCCCGTTAATCCAAGTGGCGAAAATTTGATAAGCATACACTAATTCAAACGAAGGTGACGTGTCTGTCCCGAAAGGATACCATCCACTCAACGGCAGCCTGATTTTTTCTCCAGGTTGTCTATCCAAAAACGGGAAAATCCCCCACAAACAACAAGTTACGAAACACATGAAGAGAAATATTTTTGAAGTGGCTTTGGATATTTTTATTTCTTCCGAAAGGGAGTTGCGCTGTACTGAGTTTTGCGGTTTGAATTCGTTTTTGTTGAGGTTTTCGATGAAAGTCCACACTCTTGAGCCATTGAATAGAAAGACGTATATTTTGAGTGCTTGGTTGGAATTAGTTAGAAGTAGAAACGACGTTTCTGTCATTTTTTCAATGTCGCCGTAAACTTCGATCATGTTTGCTATTTGGCTTAGAAGACAGAGGATGTAAGTGAATGTGAAAAATATCGCAACGTAGACTTTGTAGCAGATTTTTGCTCCGAAATTATTTAATTCAGGAGAAAAATAGCCAAATATGTGTAAACACTTGACATTGAAACTAATAATGTCTTTTACGTTCATTTCAGTTGTTATTGTCATAATCAATATATACAACATCAACAACTTTCTTTATATTTGTTGAAATTTAATGTTGGTAGTTGTTGCTTTACTTAGCAAATACAAATACATGTACACGATTAATAACCTTTTGTGAAAGAATTCATTATTTTTATGTTTTCAGCTACAACGAATAATTTAACTGCTGTAATTATTTCCGGGTATAAAATTTATTCTGTTTTACGAAAGCACTAATTATGACTGAAATAACATAGTATGAAGCAAACTTAAAATTTTACGTAATCAATTATAATTGAAGACTTCAATTAGTTGCATTAGTTATTTATTAGTCAATTGGTTAATTAGGGCCTGGGGTTAGCTTTAATTTAAACTCATTTAGGAACGTTTTCGATAACTTTTATTTTTTTAATAATTATTTCTGTGCGACAAGTACTTAAATACAGTTAAATTTATTTGATACTCCTATATGGCTAAATGCATCGTGTCTATATTCAAACTACTGCACCGATTTGGATTTGTGTTTCAGTTTCAAGAATATTTTGAGCAGATTTCTTGAAGAAAAACAATAATATATATACCGACGAGGTTCATTAACACAAGTCGTAAGATTAATTGTAAAAGTAGACATCGAAAAATGAGTAAGTTACGTGATTCTAAAACAAAGGTAATAGCTATCATCGGTCAAAATCGATTTGTTTACAAAATATCCGTTACACAAACGTACCGATTTTTGTTGGCGTTATATTGCATAGTTTTGAATCGGTTGTTAACGTGAAGATGGGCCTGATTAATCGTATTTAACAACCTTAAAACAATTAGGACAAACGAACCATACAACCATTGTCAGAATTCTGAATGAATGTCTAATTTTTTTTTCACGAAATATATTTCCAATGAAAAAAAATTGGTTAGGTTTATGTGGACAACAATTAAAAGTTATGTATCCCAATTTAATTCATGCTGTCTTCAAGGATTCAAATACACCTGGAAAAATGACCTGGGACATCTTTTAGTGCAGAATCTGTGATGATCACCTTCGAAACTTGACTAAAAAAATTTTATGCCAAAATGATGGTATCAATTTTCGCAAAATTCTGCATTGCCAGAAAGCTTCATTTTGTCAAAGCCCACACAAATTTATTGAAATAGATCAATCAGAGCGATAATATTTGCTAAGGTAAGACTGATTTTGGCACTTTTGACATTTTGGACCATTTTTCAACTATTTTCGAAAATTAGTAGTTGCTAAGATTAGACTGATTTTGGCAAATGAAATACCTTCCAAGAAAATAGAGGGTGGGTAGGCGGGGCTAGTATTTGATAAGATAAGACTGATTTTGGCACTTTTGACATTTTCGACCATTTTTCAACTCTTTTCGAAAAATAGTTGAAAACATTTTCTTATAGATTTCGATGTCCACAAGTCATTTTCGGTTGCTATATTATTAGTTTACACTCCCATTCCACAGAAGAACATAATTTGCCCCGCCCACCCACCCTGTCTTTTATCCGATCTGAATGAAATGAATGATCTTATACTGAACAGTAATAAAATTAGTCGTTAAAATGAGAAGAGGGTGGGTGAGCGGGGCTGGTACTTACTAAGATAAGACTGATTTTGGCAAATGACATACTTTCTAAGAAGATAGAGGGTGGGTGGGCGGGGTTAATACTTGAAAAGGTGAAACTGATTTTGGCACTTTTGACATTTTCGACCATTTTTCAACTATTTGCGAAAAATAGTTGAAAACATTTTTTTGTAGATTTCGATGTCCAGAAGTCATTTTCGTTTCTATTAATAGTTTCCACCCCCACTCGACAGAAGAACATAAATAGCCCCGCCCACCCACCCTGTCTCCTTTTTGGTGATTGATTTAAAAAAGAAATGAGATTTGTGGCTTCAAAACTTGATAAAATATTTCTGAAGCTTCCAATACGCTCCGATTACATCCAATGATGTTAGAAGAAGGCATTCCACGTATAATTAGGTATATACGACATAATATTTTAGTCAACAATTTAAAAAAAGACATTTATTAGATACATTTATTTAAAAATGCTAAATATTCAATATGTCTTGAATAAAATACATTAAATCAAAATGTGTTTTATTTAGCTGTTTACTATAGGGAAAATAGTAGGAAGACTCTCGAAACATGCTCATCGTTTCGTGTTCGACGTGAGTCGACCTTGGCCGAACTCACCTGAAGTGAGCCTAAATTCAAATTTTCCCCTCCCGATTAAGCCAGCTTTCAAAAAATATATTGAAATCTGTTTATCCGTTTGAGAGGTACGGTACTACAGACAGCCACATAGAGAGGCAAAGGAGTCAAAGTTATATTATAACTAAGCTTCCGATTTTAGGTCGTTAAAAAATGAATAAAAGGAGACATTTTTAGGTACCAAAGTTGACGAATTAGGTTATAAAGATCTTAGTTTAGGTTAAAATCCTGGAAAAAATATTTGCTTAATGAAAAAGCATACATCAAAAAAATATATATTTAAAAAAAACATTAAACAAAGTGTAACAAACAAAAAAATTATTAAATAAACAAACGATCTATAATTACGTCCACTAATTCTAACTTATCGCAAAAAAATGGTGATCAAACTAAAGCAAGTCGCATTTAAAAAAAACTAAAATATTAATTCAGGTATTTAAAATGAGTTAAAAAAGCAAACTATATATTTCTTTAAATTTTCGATTGCACATTTACACCTTTGATCGTTTAAAACACTTTTAAGTTTTGAAAACGTGCGCTGCACATCACAATAGAATTTCTAAATTGTTTAATTACTTGTAAATTATAAAATTTATGTTAAAAGGTTGCTAAATAAAAATTTTAGTGCTCACCATTTCGTAATTTTTTTTGTTTAGGTAAATAATTTTTTCTCAGAGTGCTTTCTGAGGGTAAATGCCTTCCTGTATATTTATGCATAAAATTTTTAAACTCAGGACTACTAACTTTATTCCATGGAATATTTGCTGCGATAAATGCCCTACATAAATCGGTGCAAAATTGCCTAAAATCATTGTCACAACTAATGTTTGATAAAGTCTGTTTACTGGATTTATTCTTGTTCTTTTTATGTGCATCGCCACTGCAGTGTTGTTCAAAGTGTGATTTTTTTTCGCACTTAAACTAGGAAACAAAATGTGAACATAATTCAAGCTTCATTATTTTAAATGTTTACTTACAACTTTTCCACACACTTTGCAGAATAACTCATTGTCTTTGGTTGAAGAAGGAAATTGAAAATTAGTGTGATTTTATCTTTCATGGATGATTTTACCTTATGCATTTTGCGGATTTTTTACTGTATGCACAAAAATCAAAACCGGCCCCAGCACACTCACTAACACGCAAAGGCACTCAGTATTACTAACAATAAACTTCTAAAATAAAATGCTTTTTCAGAGATTCACCGCCTTTTAAAATTTACAATTAGGTCGTTTAATTAACACTTTAGGTCTCTAACGGTAAATTAGGCATTTTAGGTAGTAATAAATGGGCGTTAAATAAACAGGATGTTTTAAATTCGGATAAATATATACATTTCGCTGCAATGCCTGAAGTAGATATAAAAAGCAAAAAACCTAAGATCCGAAGCCTAATTATAACATCCCTCTATTTGCTTCGAGAGTTAATACAAGAGGAATCCGTGGACTAGAAAACTGAGAGTTGCCATACTCAAGGAAGGATAATCAACAAAGTCATCAATGCTTTTTATTTTTAACAATAAGTGCATTACAAAATTATAATTGAATTGGAAAAGTATATCGATGAGAACTGTCTCCAAGAAAATATAATTTTCTTAATGCAAATTTTAGTAATCTGTTATACAATTTTCATTCCTATGTCTGTTAGCAGCTTATATTAAACCTCAAGTTGTAATTAGTTACACTGTTTTTATTATTGGATAATACTTAAAACATGAAATATTTTTTCAACACAAATGGTTTATTTCATATTAATTTACCCAGATTTAATAGTACATGTTTGTATAGGTGGACTAGTAGTTTTTTAAAACTGCGAGCAAAGAGTAGGCTCTTCTTAAAATCTACAAAAGTTTTATTACTATTAAAAAGATTATATCGTTGTTATTATCTGTTACCGTTGTAAATGTTTCTAACGACAAATCCAGAAGTTTCCCAGCTGTGATAATAAGTGGCCTTTTCGAACGTTCCATAAGTATTAACAGAGATGTTTTTGACTTGTTGTCGTAGTCGTACCAATTACCCATGTATACAGCCCCCATTAAAGAGTTGTTCTTAAATAAATTATCAATTAAAAATTTAATTAACTATTAAGTAATTAAACAACATACTTCCTCAAACAGTGTAGTACCATAATAACAGTAAAGAAAAATTTCTGAAAGCATTGTAATCAAAAAAACAATCATAGCGAAAAAGACAACAGTTAGTGGTTCAACCTACAAAGTAAACAATATAAGAAGTACAAATAAAATATTAATGAATTTGTATTCATACCATACTGAGACACAAGCAGCAAATACAAATAACAAACACACTTGCAGCAAATTGACTAAATACGACAGAAGAGTACAATTTTTCAAAATTCTCTACAAATCTAATAAGACTCATTTTAGTACGATGTTAGAAAAAAATACCAAAAACTTACTCTAATATGGCCATGTGATGTTGAACGCATCTTTGAATTTTGTAATAGAGTATTTTAGCTTTCAAAAAGTCCGATATCGTCGAATGTTGTGCAAGTGTTTCGTCTAGATCTTCACCCAAAAATTGCAAATTATTTTTCAAAATTTTTATTTGTGCGGTGATGTGGTACATCATTCCCGAAAGGAGTGGGTCAATTGCACCATTAGAGAAACCACCACAAATAACACCTACATATATTTTTTTTTTTTTTTTCATAATTAAATAAGTTTTATTTACCTACCGAGAATTATATAAACATACACCGAGTAATACATCCAGGGTTGATCCCTAACATCAAACGGTAACCATAATTCCAGCGGTAGTGGTTTTCCGTGTTTAA